TGAAATTTTTAATTAAGGAGCAAGAGACCAGAATTTCTTGTATATAAGTGGCCTGGGGGGGGGGGGCAGAGTGATTAGTTAGGGAAATTGTTCTGATATACAGAAGTTGATTTATAGTGACATGAAGCTTAGAGTGTGATATTTTCTTCTATAAATCCAACCATCTCATATCTGTGTATTCAACAGAATTTAGATGACCAGGAGAGATCGCGTGTAGTTTCAGATACACTGTAATTTACTAATTAGTGCCATAACCTCCCACAATACTTGATACCTGTTTCTCGAAGTAGGACTCCGTAGAACTCTTGTTCCTTAAATGAACTTGAAATTAGCTTTCAGGGCGATAGGTGAGGTATCAGTTGCTTATCGCTTTTCCCTATGACTTGGTTGCTCTCCAAAGATATCTTCCTTTATATTTAGTAATGATCAGTTTCTGGCCCAAATATTAGACTAGTCTGTATACATACTCTTTCACATAATCTCTCCAACTTTGGGATAAGGTTTTAAATCTTTTTGGTTTGAAACCTCAGATTTTACCCCTACTGAGATGTTTTTAAATTGAACTTACTCTTCCTGTTTTGTCTCTTGCAGTTCTTGTCAGCCCTATGTCTTTATGTTGTGGCCACCATTTTTCCAGACTCTTGAAAGGACTCGGTAACGTTATAACGGCCAGAAAAGGCTGCGAGTGCAAGGGGCACTCGAGCACAGGGGTTGAATGTGTCGTTGCCATGGAAGCAGATAGTCCTCTTTATCATGGTTAAAATACATGGTTCCTTTTTTTCTAGAAAGGTTACCAAGCCTTGTTTCTGAACAGTGTTCAGTGCCATTGTTATTAAGTTTTATTAAGACACTATGCACTTCACTAATTTCAAACTATAGTTTTTGCACTGACTTTACATGACTTCTATTACCAGGTTAGTGGAAGAATCTGAAGAATGCTGCTAATATGGCATTTGGTATGAAGATCATGGTAATAACTTAGAACTAAGTGAAATTGAGAATTTCATCCTATTAGAAATCTGCTTTATAAAAGCTGATAGTTTTATTTGTTTTGTGGAGCAGGGTTTCTGAACGTATTTTGTAGAAATAAAGCTTCCAAAATGAAGTGAAACGTTTGGACATTCTCAAAACCCTGAGGAGTTTGTTTTTGTTTACTGAATGATTCATTTCAAATCACTATATTAAATTGCATTTTCCCATTGTGGCCTCATGCCTCTAGGGAGACTCACAAGTCTCCTCCCATGCCATGTCCCACATAGTTTGATCAGAGGAAAAGCTATGTTATATTGTGGGAAATATAATTCACATCTCCATTCTCTCTAGTGAGTCAGGTTTTCAGAGTGAACCCCTGCTCTATTTGTCGTGCACTGCTAGGGAAATGAAATTTCCTATTTTATAGCATAACTTCCAAATATTTAGGATGTGTAGAAGAGAAGAAGGTAAATAATGTCTTTACTAGGGAAGCTCTTGGACAATCGAAATGTATCTGGCAAGACTGTTTGAGACAATCATTTTTACCATGGTGTGTCAGTGACCTTGAGAAGTTCGGTGTTTACCCTTCCCTGTTATCTAAAAGGCACAGTTGTAACGGGGCTGGAGAGCTGAGCCACGATGTCACAGAGGGAATAGTGCCACCTACAGAAGAGCTGGTCGTCTTAGCTTTTCTTGCAATTCCTGTTTTCTGAGACTGGCAATTTCTAACTGCTTTCATTTTTAATCTTAAACCTCTTTAACTACAGCACACAGTTAGCTTCTTTGCTGTACTCTTGGCTTGAGGCTATACCAATGAGTTTGGGGAATTATAATATACATGAGGATGAAAAAGGATTTTTAAGATTTTTTTTTTTTTTTCTCAACAGAATTTTATGCATCCAGTCAAGATATGAACATGTAGTCTGATTTTTGTGTACTTAAAGCATAGTTACAGTGATGTCTCCTTGCTTCATGCCATCAAGATACTGTCATGTGAAAGCAAATGTGGGAATAAGATTATTGTTGGTTTGATTTTTGAGTACTATCAATGATGAGTTCTATTGACCTTATAATGTTTACTAAGTTTCAGCTAGAAAAAGTGAAATATCATGGTAACATATTTAAAAATGAATGACTCATGGTTTCTGTCCAGGGAACACTAAGAATTGGAACACAAAAGCAACAAAGGTGAATGAAAGGTGATTGCCACTTGCTAACATGGGCTCTTCAGTGTTGCCTCAATTCATAGAATTTAATTAAAGTGGGTGAAGTTGGATTAGTTAGTAATTTAATGTAAGAGTTTCTGTATGTATTTGTGATAGCCAGGCGTGACAGTAACAGCTATTGAAAACTGTAGGTTGCGTGTCATTGGGCTCACAGTGGTTTGTGGCTTTCCTTTAAGTCCGTTCCAGAGTGTCTAATGAGGTGTTCAAGGTACAAGACATGGGTTATGAAAACATTGCTGCTCTCGTCTTAAAATTCCACCTCTAAGCAGATTCCAAGTTGAATATATTTTACTTAAAGAACAAAAGTAAGCAAATGACAGATTTGGGGGGTTTCTTTGCTGATTTTTCCTCATAGCAGAGTAAAAGAAAACACTTGAAGGTTGCTGGTTTTAGTCTACCTGGTTCAGACAGGGAGTGCTATCAAAGCTGATCTAATTCTGCAGGCAATAGTGTTATCTTCAGAAAACTTTCAGATAACTTCATTAAAATCACTATAAAGCTGCTGTGTATCTCTGTCAAACGTAATATCTCTCAGCTGCCCTACGTAGACCTCCAGCCTTTTATATTGTGTTAGGAGAAGAGTTGAGTGCCAGCTGCTTGTCTGAAGGGAATAAATACACGGGAAAAAGCAATTGTGGACTAATTTGCGTTCAAGTTGTCCTAGTTTCGATTGCCTCCCCATTCTAAAATTAAAAGGTGGTCTTGGATGAAGTTGAGACTTGTGGTGTGAAACAGTTTAACTTCATTATTCTTGGAGCTTAAATTATACTCTGTAAGGTCAGCTTATGTTGCATCTCTGACTGCATTGCCACTGCTTTGTCATCAGGTTCATTCAAGGAGGAAGCATATCAGTAGATCCAAGGGTTATTGGTTCTGGAAAAGAAAGAAATTCAGTGGAAAAGCAACAAGTATGCAGGGCTATATTGTGCCTTTAAACAAGAACTATTCCTGTGAGTCAAAAGATTAGTTGGTACCTTACTCATAAAACCTGTACGTCTGGCAGCAGGGTTTAAAATGAGCTGTTTTTATGAAGTAGCGTATGTTCTCTTTCCCACACCCTGCCCTGGGGCATCATTCTTGTGAAGTGAGACTTAAAGAAGCTTGGTCGTACAGAAAAATGGGAGGTACAAAGGGGAGAGGCATGTTCTTTCACTTAACCGTATAAAGAGGGTGTGAAAGGTGGTACATTTCTTTTCCTCTTGTCTGCTTTCACCTTGCATCCATTCTATCAACTTACTGCAGATTGCTATGTATAGAATAATTTGCTTCTACTTTGCCAACAGAAGGGGAGTTACTGGGGTATGATACCATGACCAGACTACTGCAGAAGTGCTGGAATGCAACCTTTTCCACTACTCCTACACCCATTTTTATATATGCCACACTCGAGGAGAACAGGACTGACTGGGCAGACGGTATTTTCACTTGAGGCTCCTCATTTCGATTAGGAGTTGCTCCAGAGAAGTGAAAGGAGCTGTACTGGTGCAAGAGTAATTTAAGACATGGGTATGACTCCACACTCTGTAACAATTCATTCCTTAAAAATGATTCCAGGAAAGACAGTCTTGCTGGGACAACATCTTCACAATTTCCTTTGCTCCCTTCATGCTAAATGAAACTGCTACAATTTTGGTATCTGTGGAGAACTCCAGTTCTTTCTCAAGATGCTGGTGTAAGAATTCTGCCAGATGTGGCTTTAGAAATGAAGAAGCAAAGCAAGCTGTTGGAAATAAGGGCGATATTTAGTAGCTAGTAGTTTCTCCTGTGTAAATAAAAGATCATCCGTGAAGCATTTTGCAGAGTTCCTAAAGTTGCTTTTCAAGATAAGGGCTCTGTTGTGGTAGGCTTTTTGCAGATGCTCCTAGGAAGGTGGTCTGCAGTGAATATGCCAGGACTGCTGCTTTGCTTTTTTTTTTTCCCCCTCATTTTGTTTTCAGGTGAACAGTAGACATACACAGCATTTCACCTTTTCAAAATGCTGCACCTACTAAGTACATTTATCTCTGCAACAGTATTTATGTTCATGTTATACTGAGTAATCCTAACACTGGGAAACAAAACAAGTTGCCTTTAATGTCACACAGCAAGTTAAAGGAGGAGCAGATTCAAACTTGCACCTCCTCAGATTTTGGCCCTGTACTTCTGTAGCTCAGTGGGAAGCATGGTCTTGCTTTTAGAAGTCTTGTTCAGTGTAGTAAGTGTGGCTTGTACTTCTTCACTGTTGCTGTTCTGTGCGATTTTCTCATCCAGAACAGAAGGTGCCCGAAGATGAGATTTTTGCTGAGAATTGGGAGAACTTTCCCTGATCAGTAAATCTGTTTGTCCAACTCACTGATGTCAGACTGAGAGATTTGTGACTTCTCTTTTAGACTAGCTTGTAAAAAGTTGTTTGGTGTTTTTGATGGTGTACTGGAACATGACAGCTCTCTGCTGTACTTGAAGAACTATTAATACAGACAAAGGGAAATTGTGCTCATTGGTTTGGTACATGACTGCTCTTTAAAAGCTGCTTTTACCTCAAGTTGTGTCTGATGTGCCAGAGCTGTCTGCATCTCTGCTGTTGTGTATCTCTGTTTTATGTAACTGAAGCAATAAGCTTGACCTGTCTTGACATTCCTATCTGTTTCTGGACTGATGCCCTGTTTCTGTCTCTCATATATTTTTTCCCTCTGTTGTATTGTACCAGTTTCAGTACTCTCTGATTATCTAAAAGGATAAGGTTTTGGATTGATGCCTAGCTTGTGTCTCTTTGTATTTCTCTCTTTCTCTTTCTTCTGCCCTTTCCCCACCTTTCTTATGCAGGTCTTGTTCAACGGTGTGTTGTTATCCAACGGGATGAGAACGGATTTGGTCTGACAGTCAGCGGAGACAATCCAGTCTTCGTGCAGTCCGTCAAAGAAGGTAAGCAGACTTGCTAAATGTGCTAGCCAGAGAGCAGCCTAGAGGGTTTTCATGTGAATCAAAGAAACACGTGCACGAGCCAGAGGAGAAAACTTCAAATGCCTTCCTCATGGGTGGGATGGCTGTAGCTTTGGAGTAGATGTGCAAGGAACAAAGCGCATTGCACTGTTGGGATGCAGTGAATCGCCTCCTCAGTGTCTGGTGTATTTGGAAACTGACCTCTTGCATCTGAGAGGAAGTAAATGACTCCTTGAAACGTGATGGGATTGTGGCTTGATGTTATCCACTGCAAAATGAGACCAGAACTGCTGTAGTCCAGATACTCAGAGGTTTTAATCTGATAGAGACAGAGGAAGCTTGGATGAGTGCAGGAAGTAGCTTTGCATGGAACTACAGAAGTGCTTAAACCATTTTTGCTTTGAATGATTCTATTGAAATTGGAACTAAATAATTTCTTGTCTCTCTAGATGGAGCAGCCATGCGGGCTGGGGTGCAGACAGGTGATAGAATTATCAAGGTAAGGGCATTGGGCTCATCAGAGAAATGGATCCTTTGTATTAAATGAGCTCTTTCAGGGAAAGAATGTCATTGATGTGTCTGCTGTGATGTTTGCATTTGCCTATGGGATAGAGGAATGGTCTAAGTTTCCGTGTTCTTGGGGATACCAGAACAGTAACCACTGAAAGCCCATTGCTGAATGTTAGTTTTGTTGTGGAGATCACTCTCATTTCAGAACTTTATGGGTGAGTTCAGCATCCTACAAGGTTCAAGTATCACACATAAAATGAAAAGCAGAAGCGGCAGGGGTGAGAAGGAACAGAGAGTTATTAATAATTACCTGTAAATAAATAGTCATTTTGGATTATTGTTTTTCCCCTAACTGCCCCAGATCTGTGTTCTCTTTTAGTCCCAAACAACTAAGAAATTAAGTAACTAAAAAGACTATCTAATGTATTGCTGAAAAATGATGATTGTGCTACAGCAACTACTGACACAGATAGAGCTGGGATTTCAACTGGGCATTTAAATTAATGAATTAAATTAGCTACTCTAATTTTTTCTGTCCAGCCAGAGGTGGATTGCTTTTTTTTTCTTTGTTTCGTTGCTTGGTTTTCTTTGGTATGTGTGCATAGTTTTCTTTTTTGCAGAGCTCTCCTCGCTGAGATAAACAATTTATCCTTCTAACAGTTATCTGTAGTGTCTTGAAAGGCATAGTAATGGAGATGAGGGGAAAAGAAAATATTGTTTCTCATTTTAGTACTTATTGTGTAGTGTGTGGGTACCTTTGGTTGGTAATCAGCTGAACACTGTTAACTTTCTCTTCCTCTGTACCCGCAGGTGAACGGGACTCTTGTAACACACTCAAACCATTTGGAGGTGGTAAAGTTAATCAAGTGTAAGTAAAGGCAGGTTACTATTTTTGTCACTGTGCTCCTTTAAAGCATGAAAGGCATAATTTTAAAGGACCAATGACCAATTCAGATATCAAGTGACAAGGATGAGGTCTAACCATGCCCCATGCTGAGAGATAAAGAGTGTGTATGAAATAGTGAAGTGAAATTGGGGTAATTTTGACATCTCAGGCTTGAGCTGATACATGCTTCTGCAGTTTATCTTTAGCTTGATGTTCGAAGTTACCATCAAACCTTGCCTACGTGTCTTCCCATCTTTTGATTCCACCTTAAATATCATAGCTATTCAGACACCGTTAATGTAGATTACTGAATGATGCTTGCAAAGTATTGTTATTTCTAAAGCAAGTGTTCTTGGTTGGTTTTCTTGTGTAAGGGAAAAGGGGTAGTGGTTCCTTCCACCCTAGCACGGTTTATTTTGTAGCATGAGCATATGTATACTGTAAATGCAACCTGGTAAGTGTAACTTGCTGGACTAGAAATTGGATTTTGTGCTTTTATTAAGGATGATTATCATGAAAGGTTTTGGATTACCTGGAATTTAAACAGAGATCTCTAAAACAGAGCTGACAGGGCTCTCAGGTTCTCTGGTTTGAAGAACTAATGGGTAAAGAATGGTCTGAGTTTTGTCTCTGGGGCAAAATGGCAACCAGAGGAACAGCAACCGTAGAAATCTGCAAGTGTGTCTGAAATGTGAATTATTCTTGTTCTCCCTGCAGCGGGTTCCTATGTAGCTCTCACTGTTCAGGGGCGCCCACCTGGGTCGCCTCAGATTCCATTAGCTGATTCTGAAGTGGATCTGGCAGCATTTGGGCATATGTCTCCCATCATGACATCTCCCCATTCACCTGGCACATCAGGAAATGCAGAACGGATTACTAGCCCAGTGCTTGTGGGGGTAAGATTTAAAGTGCTCTTTCCAAAGAACCAGCATAGCAGTGGAAGAAATGTAGTCGTGGGATTTTTTTTCTAAATTGTTTTGCGCTTCTTGCACAAATCACAAATTGGAATTGGAATATTTTATCCTGCCACCCAGTGGGCTTTTAATCATGTGGGGGAAAAAATTCTGCGCATAAAAATATCCAGTCCCATCTGAGATAATAAAAGTACAGTTGAGGGATTATTCACAGATGGTCTTTGAGATACACTGCAGTTTGCATGATGTGAGTTTATACATGATCTGGTCCAAGCCAGTCATGCTGTAACTTCTGTTAAAAGATAGTTTGTTAGGTGTGCAGGCCTATAGCAAAGAAGAATAGGGAAAGCAAATAAGCAAACACTTCTGGTCGGTCTGTTTTGGTGTTTTGTTTCTTTTTAATAACGTTGATAGCTATGTTCAAAAGTAGGAAAGAATGCATAGGACTGGATTTAGAAACTTAAATTGTTCTTGTTGGGTTTTTCAGAGCCGATGTTTAGGAAATAAATGAAAAGTGGGCATATCCATTTTCCTTATCTTTCTTCCCAGCTCCACCAAAAAACTCAACCCTTAATCTCTCCGTATTTTCTAGGAGGAGAATAATATTGTCCACAACCAGAAGGTGGAGATTCTGAGAAAGATGCTACAGAAGGAGCAGGAGCGGCTGCAGGTACTGGAGTTGCATGAGTTTGAGAGGGGTAGAGGAAAGTATGATGAATATACAAAGATCAGTTCTTGAATCACTACTTAGTAGCATCTTCAACATTCCTTTGCATAACTTGTGCTTCAGCTTAGCTTTTCTATATACTGGCCTAACATCAGAGATCTAGTCACTCTTGCTGATCAGCTCTTGAGGTTTTTAATCCTTGATAGAGTAAGAAAAAATTTATGGGAGCTTTCTTAAGCTTTCAGATCTCAATCTGATCTAATCCTTGGGCAAGTAAGCATCTCTGACTCTTACGGAGGGATTTCATAGATCTCTAGAATGTGGTTATTTTCATATGGTACAGGAGAGAGAGGAGAGCTATATAAAATGGACATTCTGTAGCACCCACTTGGCAGGTGTGCAGTTGTGCTGTTTATTATGTAAAATGTGTAAATGGAATGAAGATTGGTAGTAGGTTGTAGTTCTAAGCTTTGATATTGAGGAGATGCTGAATGAAAGCTCATAAAATTATTTTTCAGTCACTGCAAGAAGAGTATAGCCGATCACCCACCACACGACTGCTCAAAGAGATACAGGAAACGAAGAAGCACATTCCTCAGCTGCAAGAGCAGTTGTCCAAAGCCACAGGCTGTACTCAGGTAACAGAATGTGTCAGGCTTCTCTGTGGTGTGTTCCAGGTGAAAATTCTTGGGGGATGATGGTGTTCTGGGCAAGCAGGAGTTCTCTGCTATGCTCCTCTGTGCTGGTACAGGCAAATCGCACCCTCTAGCGTTGAGACTTGTAGTTAGGCTTGCAGGGGCTGTCAAGCAATACAGTGCAATGTTAGTATATGAAGTAGAATTTGCAACAGACTTCCAAATCATCTGTGAAAAACTGCTTTTAAAACAATAAGTGCAAACTATGATGTGTTTATTAGTCTGTCAGTATAGCTTAAAAGAAACCTGTGAAGTCATTCTTGCAGTGGAGAATGAATAACTGGAAGCTTAAAACAGCTTTGCTTTTGGAAAAGAAAAAAATGTGGGTGGTATTTTTTTTCCACTTTTCCCTCTGCCTATAGTGTTATAAGTCCTAAAAACTTGGTGTGATTTTTGTGTTGTCTTCTCTTAGAAAAGCACTGCAGCCTTTTCTAAACACATGAAGAAAGTTTTATAAATAACGTGAACTAACCAGGTTTTGAAACAGCTAATGTTTAAGGATTGTCTCTTTAAATATTCTGCTTGCTCTGCATTGTCTCCCAACTCACTTTATCTTTTTAGGATGGAATCTTGTCCTCCAGGTCTGTGACGGAATCGCTGCAGATCAGTGAAGTGGAGGCAGAGAGTGGGGATTGTGTGAGCAAACTGGATTACAGTGGTGACAGCCCTTCCCGACCAAACAGTGACATTGCTGATGTGAGTCTTGAACAGTTCCATGACTTTGCTTCTATACCTTTTGGATTTGGTTTTCTTGTGCAGATTCTTTATGTTTCTGTTGTTCTGTGTATCGTACATATAGACTCTGTCTCAGTAACACTGTGTGTTACAAGAATAAGCTTCTCAGTACACACCAAAAATATTTCCCTGAGAAAGCATACCTTATTGGACTTCCATTAGGGACTGGGTTTTGGTATCCAGGATTAGATTTTCCTGGCACAATCCCTGTAACCAGACAAAGAAAGATAGATGCCAGTATCTTTCTCAGAACTCAGAGATGCCAATTAGAGAATCTTTTAAGAGTATGGTAATGTTCCAATTGCGGTAGCTGTGACTCAGATCCAGTCAGTGGGCAAGTTACCATGGAAGTGCGGAAGAGCCTTACTTGTACCAAATAAGCTTCAGTTATTGCCAACAGTAAAGGCTCCTAGTCTGTTCTTTCATTAGTTATTGATCTCCATGCTCATATGGTCTCCCTATTGAACTACCTTAGCACGTAACCCTTAATTAAGTCACTATCTGTCTAGTGGAGAGGAACTGAGACTCTGTGCTTGGCTTTTGGCCTAAGTTTGTTTAACTTAAGGATGTGGGAGCTAAATTTGTACTAGCAGTTGGAAGTGAAAGGAAGATTGGTCAGATATACCTCCAAAATGCAAACATACATGACTGTTTTGGAACACTCCTCCAGCTCCAGATCTGACTAGGTATCACTCATGTTTGTATATAATAAATGCAGAACAAAATTCATAGTTACATTCCTAATAAACTTAATCCAGTCAGTATTGTGAATGTCATTAGATCACTGGAGGTGATTGACACACCAAACATTCAAGCTTTTCAATCCAAAGTGACTCTGAGAAACCTAAGGGTTGGGAGCAATAGAAACCTCTGGTAGTTTAACAAGAACTCCAGAGTTCTACAGCTGGGGTGAAGTAACTCCATGCGTCAACACAGGCTGGAAACGAACAGACTGAGTAGTAGCCTAGCTGAAAAGACCTGGGTGTTGCTGTGAACACACTGAAGATGAGCCAGCAGCACATATTTTTTGCAAATAAAGCCAAGTGTGTACTGGACCACGTGAGAAAGAGGATTGCCAGCAGGTGGAGGGAAGTTACGCGCCCCTTCTGCTGGGCACTGGTGAGACTGCACCTGGAAGACTGAGCCCATTGCTGGGAGCCCCCTCTTCAGAGCCGGTGTTGAGAAAAGGGCCTCGTCAGAGAGCTGGCAACACGGGTACTACATGAACTGTCAGAAGAGGTGGAGAGAGCAAAGAGAAAGCTAAGGACAGGTGCACTAGTAGATTTTACAGCTCTGCTGTTATTCAGTGTCACTAGCTCTCTTACTGAAACAGCTTCATTTGGTTGTTTTGGGTTTTTTTTTTTTCTTTCTTGAAACTGTGCATGTAGGTCACATGTTTTAGTTTGGTTTTTCATACTTCAGCTGTTTAACAGTTCACTCTATGAGAAAGGAGAAGTTTTGGCTGTTATGGCTGAAAACCTTACTGTGCAGTTCTCATTTTCGTGGATTTGCTGGTACTCACCAGAACTGAACTTCCTTCTTTCCCAGAGTCCTCGCAGTGGCTTGAAGGAGCGGATTTGTGCAGATGAGAGCCCAGAAAAGACTGAGGTTCAAGATACTGTGAGTACAAAACATAGTGTCACAACAGCATCTCCTGTAATGAGCCCATCAAAATCTTGCTGTTTTTCCCACTTTCTAGATGGAGCATGCATAAACTTTGCTTTAGAAAATAAAGTGCAATTAAAATTGTGCAGGGAAAGTTAATTGGCTGAGGAAATGTTTATGGAGTGTTTAGATGCGAGAAATATATAATCAGCAGTAAAACAGCTGGACCTAAAATAGGTAGAGCAGTTGTACATATTTTATTCCGTGAGTCCAGCAGTAAATGAAACAGTCTTTTCTTTAGGATATTTAGTCATTAGGTGTCATCAAGGATGGCCTCAAGATTAGGTAAAAGTGGAACATGGCAGAAGATGCAGACCTGTCCTGAATGTATTATTATCCTCCTCAAGATAACTTCTGAAGTATTTTTCCCTCATCTGCTTGACTTTTGGAAAGTCATATTTCTCCATTTGTACTAAGATGGCATTTGTCATATGACACATGCTTAGTGTGCTCATGTCTGTAGATGATGCAGCTGGTTTTAAATCGTCTGATTTGATGTTTCTCAATGCTTGCAGTTTGCAAGAAGCATTTGTAAGGAGATCTCGCAACTGCAAACTTGGAGAAGATTGAGTAAAGACACGTGGGTTCTCATTGAGTTTTGACAAGGAGAATAAAAGTGATAGTAGTATCTCTAACTTGGTAAAGAAAGTTTACTGTGCCAAGACAGTAATACCACTGTACACTGTACCTTCCCTGCCCTTGTCTTCCCTCACTCCTGACTCACCGCAGGATTCCCAGTCCAGTGTTGGAAGTCCTTTATCCCGAGTTGGGCCTCAGATCATTGGAGCAGAGGATGACGACTTTGACACTGAACAGGAGCAGGTGGGGATGACTTTTAACCTCAGCCACCCCTTTTTCCCCTTGACAAGAATTCTGTTCTTCTATGCCTAAACTACAGGTGCTCTGTGACTTGTTTTTATTGAGCAGTTCTTGTGTGATGAATTAAGAATTAGGGAATGTGATTCCTGTTATTGCTGATCGTGCCAAATAAAAACGTTTGGGGAGTTTATGACAATATGCCATCTTTGATTCTTTCTGTTACTCTTTCGTTCTTCTCATAACTTTAATTTTCCTTTGCTTGTTTAGTTTCTATTAAGTTCTGCATTATTGTCACGGCAGTATAGCTGCCGTGGCTTTTGACGTATTTATTCTGAGTTATTTTAGCTGTCCTTTGCTCTGAATTGTATTTCATTATGTTGTACTCAGTGTTCAGGAGAATATTTAAAAGAAGTGTTCCTATTGTAAGCTCTCCTGGGATGTTAGAATGGCGTTGCAAAGGTTCTGGAATTGATCAGGTTTTATTTTAATTAAACAAATGAGGAGCTAAGCTGTTGGAACAAAGCTTCTTGGTTCTTCTCGTAGTAGCTTTCTTGAATAATTCAAATAGTTTCCGTGTATCTCTACAGATTAATGGACAATGCAGCTGTTTCCAAAACATTGAGCTCCTGAAATCCCGCCCAGCTCACCTGGCTGTTCTTCTGCATCATGTGGTGTCCCAGTTTGACCCTGCAGCATTGGTAATTGTTTCTCTGGCCCAAATTGGTAGTCTTAGCCAGAGTGTATCAGGATCTCCTTGTTCTTGTGTGGCATTGTCAGTGACATCACTGGATCGGCAAGGAGAGAAATGCTGATCCTGTGCAGGCGTGAGGGTATTTCAGATAAATGAAGAGAAGCACAAAGAGCGCTGTCTCCTTTACATTTAGTTGTTTACAAATAAGTATTTAGCTCTTGAAAGTATTTCATGCCACCCTGAGATGGTGAGATGAGTTGTCTATGGGGAAGATCTGAGCTCTCTCTCTCTTTTTCTCTCTGTCCCCCGCCTCCCCCTTCCCTTTCTCCATTGATTGCCAGGGCAGCCTAGCTGAGGTTACCTGAGCAATCTAGATGGCTGAAAGTAGCTAGGAAGAGTTTCAATCCAGCAGTGCTGAATTCCTTGAAATGTTTGAAAGAAAACTTGGAGTTAGGGGTGTTAGAGGAGTTCCCATGGTATCGCTTAATTCTTCCCCTCCTGTTTCCCACAGTTGTGCTACCTTTACACAGACTTGTACAAGCAGACCAACTCCAAAGAGACTCGGCGTGTCTTCCTTGAGTTTTACCAGTTCTTCTTGGACCGAGCTGCAGTAAGTTCCAGTTGTTTCTCTCATTTTCAAGCATATCTAGCAAATTGACTTTTACCTTTCTCCACTCCTGAACTGGAAAAAACGAAGAAGTTATTTAAGTCATCCAAAATGAAAAGTTTTTTTTGTTTGAGTGTTAGCAGTGAATATGGCAGAATGAATGATTTATAGCCTCAGATACCTGGTAGCTCAATAAATCATGGGAAATGCGTTGTCTGATAGGATAAATAATTTTGTGATCTGTAGGCAAGTTCTAGCTGTTACACGTTGCCTTTTAGTTAATAATTGCTGCATATATTGATGTGGCTATTGCAAGGATTGGGAACTGTTGTATGTCTGTTGGAAAGCCTGAGAAACTTCTTTACTGTCATGAATTGGACTACCAGATAGTGTAGCAGAGGCTAGTACTACATGTTTAGATGAAATAATCCTTGTGTAATATAATATATATTCAGGATGGGAATCTCCCCTTTAACACTATCAGATGTTCAGGTTGTATGATTTTGGCTTTTGAGGGGATTTTCTTGTATGTTTTGTAGTGTTTTATTGGGTGGTGTTTGTTGTGTGTGTTCTCCCAGCCTTTCTTTTCTTTTGCAGAATCTAAAAGTTCCAGTTCCAGATGAAATCTCCTTAGAACTAGGTAGGGTGCTCTTGCCTTGGGTATCTATTTCTGCAGTTTCTCCTGTCTGAGGTAGTCCAAGCGAGTTTCTGAAGTGCACTTGGGGTTGCTTCAAACATACAGTGCCGTGTGTTACAGGGAGAGACAAATAAATACTACTTAGGTTTTTCAAGGAGGGCATAATGTGTGCACTGATAGATGCGTAAGTGATGGGAAGTATTGGCCACATCGACATGTACATATTTTAGTATGATAGTGGATGTGACCAAAGCTACTTACACTTAATGCATGGAAGTTCCTATTATCAGCAAGTGAAAGGCAAAAGGGTACTCTTGGATGGGTTAAAGTATGCACGTGAGTGACTTTATTCTAAGATGAAGAGGACTATTCTCAAAAGAACAATCTATTAACTTTTCTCTTCTGACTTACAGAGAGAAGAAGGCCGGAACTCCTTCCTGAAGAGCTTCATCGCCAGTTTATACAAGCTATGCAAGATAAAGTCTGTCCAGAAGTTCAAAGGAATCTGGAAGATTTCAGGTAACAACAGTTGTCCATGTAGTTTTTGTTTAATTCGTCCTACCCTCAGTCAACATGTCCAATACAGGGGAAGTCCAGAGTGGAGGGACATCATCATTCATCTTGGACTGAATAAGAAGGCGCCACTGGAGAGGGCCTCCAGGGTCACCCTGTGACCAATCCTTGAATGTTTTTTGACACTGCATTGCAAGTCATCAATTGCAAGATCAATTTTAGAGCTTGGGTTCTTCATTCCTTGAAGCTATTTGAGGCAATTTCAGAATATTATTTCTTAGGTGACGTTATATAAATCCTTCTTACTAAATGTGTTTATAATTGACCTTCCCGCCCCCCCC